TTTCGTACAATTAAAGTCGAATTCGTACAATTGGAGTCAAATTAGTACAATTGAGAGCATATTCACTTAACCAATATATTAGGTGTCCAATTCTAGAAGACTTGAGTATGAAATTGGTAGCCGGAATTTTCACGCTGCGCAAGTAACTGTCCAACTGCAAAGCAATTGAAGTCAATTTCGTACAATTAAAGTGAATTTCGTACAATTGAAGTCAACTTCGTACAATTGAAGTCAATTTCGTACAATTAAAGTCAATTTCGTACAATTGAAGTCAACTTCGTACAATTGAAGTCAACTTCATACAATTAAAGTCAATTTCGTACAATTGAAGTCAACTTCGTACAATTGAAGTCAACTTCGTACAATTAAAGTCAAATTAATACAATTGAAGTCAAATTAGTACAATTGAAGTCAATTTCGTACAATTAAAGTCTATTTAGTACAATTGAAGTCAATTTCGTACAATTGAAGTCAACTTCGTACAATTGAAGTCAATTTCGTACAATTAAAGTCAATTTCGTACAATTGAAGTCAACTTCGTACAATTGAAGTCAACTTCGTACAATTAAAGTCGAATTCGTACAATTGGAGTCCAATTAGTACAATTGAGAGCATATTCACTTAACCAATATATCAGGTGTCCAATTCTAGAAGACTTGAGTATGAAATTGGTAGCCGGAATTTTCACGCTGCGGAAGTAACTGTCCAACTGCAAAGCAATTGAAGTCAATTTCGTACAATTAAAGTCAATTTCGTACAATTGAAGTCAACTTCGTACAATTGAAGTTAATTTCGTACAATTAAAGTCAATTTCAATATGGTGCCATGGGGGGGGGGGGGCTTATGACACGTTACAAAGTGTTCAACACTTGTTGGATACAACCCATCCCCAATTGCAGGCTGCATGGCAGAAGAGCCAGAACCTCCTCCACAGTTGTATGACTGTTGGAGGCCAACAGGTCATACAAGGGGCGTCGTCTAGTCAACTTCTATCTGAAGAAGACTACGTCCCTTCCCAGGCCACACAGTCATATCGGGCGAGGCATCGACCGTCTGGCAACATTGGTGGAGGTCGAAGACGGCGTGCCCGTGAACCCGCTGCTGCCACTGCGTATGAGGACGACGAAGAAGGTGATACTAGTTTTTCATTAAAAAGTGTTTATTTGTATATTTTATTTTTTGTTTTGTTTTTTTGTTCAGTCGAATTTCTAATTTGTTTAAAAAATGAATTACTCAGATCAAGAAGAAGCTGCCACACCTATCCAGACCGCATCCTCGTCTTCTTCAGGACAGCGGCCTTCTTCAGGACAACGGCCTCCTAGAAAGGGGTCCCGACAGCGTAGACCTCCGGATACATATACTCCTTCCTAGTTAGTTTGTGTATTTTGTAGTTTGAACTTTGCAGACATATTTGTTTTGTATTTAAAAACCGTATTTTGACCTTTTACGTTTTATATTGTGTTTTTTGAACATTGCATTGTGGTTGATTGTTTTTTATATAATGTATGTTGAATTATTTTTTTGCCGAATTGATATATATGAGTTGGTTGAACAGGTGTATATTGGACAGGTTGGTTGATTGAATAGGTTTATATTATTATTATTTTTTTAATGAAAAACGTATTCTCGTTATACGTTTTTGTGTCAAAATTTACATAAAAACGTATTTTTCATAATTCTAAAAGAAATTTTAGCATAAAAACGTATTCGCAACATACGTTTTATGAAAAACGTATTCAGTGTATACGTTTTGAAATTAAATTTTAGCAAAAAAACGTATTCACAACATACGTTTTACGAAAAACGTATTCGGCTTATACGTTTATACATTAAAAACGTATTCCCTGAATACGTTGTTGTTTATGTTAAGTAAGGTTAATTATCTTAATTACGTTTTTTTTAGTAAAACGTATTCGCAGAATGCGTTTAGAAAGGAAAAACGTATTCCCACAATACGGTTTTATCTGAAAAACGTATTCTCGAAATACGTGTGTTTGATTTTTTTCCACATAATTTTTTTTTTTATTTTTTTTAAATAAATAATTAATTCCGTGTTCTTGTGTTCTCTATTTCATACTGCATTATCTGTATAATGATCTCATGCATAAAAAAGAAGGAATATGAAACAATCATACTAAACTGCAACTTATTTATTTATTTATTTAATTTGCACTTATAGCACAATATCAACTCTGCTTTCTGAAACTACCTCCTTGCTTTAACATAAAATAAATTCATGTTTTTATGAACTCCTGATTGTGTGAAACCTTTACATTTAGCAAAAGGTTCTTATGTAGGTCAAGTTATAAGAATCACACAAGTGTGGAAGACAAATTGCTCTGCATCCAGCTCCTCAGCATCTCCAATGAAAATTCGGGCTGATCCATGGGCACCATATGCCCCGAATTGTAAAACTTGAGGAATGTTAGCGGCCCATAACCCTTTTGCAGCCCGGCATCCACTCCGCCCACTCTAAACGGGCTTCCCTTGGCAGTCATAAACTGTTTTTGCCCAGACCATTGCATCGCGTGAACCCACCTCGTATTCCCTGCCCAAATATTTGAATTTAAATATTTTGATTTGCTTAACATATGGTCTTAGATTTCAGAGTCCTGATTGAATTCAGGCTATAAAGGTTAAAAAAAAAAAAAAAAAA